TGTTTATCAAGCTGAAGACCTTAGGTAGCATTAGATGTCTCATCAAATGCAAAACATGGTTGTCGGCGGCCTTTGTCGGTGGCGTTAGGATCGAGCTGCACAAAATATACTGCTTTAGGTAGTGCACTCACTTTTACTGTTTGATAAGCACATCAAGTTGAAGTCTCCGCGACTTAATGAAATAGTGCGAAGTATGGCAGATTGCACAGGCTTGACAGCCCCGACACGAGCATGTGCATGTGGTACGGTTTAACCCAGCGTCGACTTTCAGGACCCGATGAAGTTTTTTCCACCATACCATGCTGCTCACACTGCTTGAGGCCAAAATCTGCATGACGCTAACAGCAAGACTGCCAAGGGTAGCCTGTCGATTTAAGTTCTTAATACAATGCGTGCATAGAACACATTAGTTGAAAGTTTTCTGACGAAGTTGTTCATTTATTTTGCTGAGCAACAAGAATGTGACAGCGATATCCACGCATGTACATACACACGCACGCAGACTATCGCTTTCCTAATAGCTAGCGCGTCTTTGCCCTTGGGCTACTACAGTCGAGCCCACATAAAACGGCCCCACTTCACTTAAAGCAAACAATATCCACGTGACCGTGAAAATATACATTGGTTCAATGGCACAAAATTGCACTTACAACGAACGTCTCCGAGCGCCGCTGATCGGTTACAGCGAACGGAGTCGGCGCTCTGCCGACTTCTTGGGAAACCACTTTCGACCACGGATCAGGCATCGGCGAAGTGCCTATACATTCTTATTGTTAAACGCTGACCCTGCTCTCGCGCCCCTCTAGTTGACGCTCTCCCCGACCGCTTTTTGTTACGCACCCCTCCGTCCTTTGTCCCTCCGCTACTCTGAGCAACCCGCATCGCCAGACGAGGCCCGTGTTTTCACACTGCCACCAATCTTTCGAAGATCGGTCGGCCGTCTACCCTGTTTTTGATCGCTTTTACTGTAGTTGGCGTCGCCAGCCCGGAGTGACCATACCATTTGCCAACATCGTTGGCCACCGACTATCCGATCGTCTGTGTCTAGTGCACGTGCGTATGCTACCGCACCGACTCTGATAATTTGCTATTCGTTTCGTGTTTAGGACTTGTTCTCGCTCACTTCGCACTCTGCTCAGCATGCACTCCGCATGAGCGCGGAAGCGCGAAAACGGGTGTTAATTTGTGCGGAACGAATCGCGAAATGCCGAAGTTAGTGAGGCCACGCTAGCCGGCTGGCGCGGGTTTAAAGTTCAAAAACTCTTTCTCAAGTTTTTCTACGTGCAAGTTGCGCATTTCGTGGACTTTTCAAGCAAGCTACCCAACCTGCCTCCTTCGCGTGTGTCTTGGTTTTCAAGGTCGCCCTACCGCCGCATCCTCCCCTCTCTTCACTTGATCGCAACTCCTTGCCCATCTCTCGCAAATCTGCTCTCCTCTTTTGATCACAACCTCTTCGCCTTACTCCACCGCTCCGCGACGGCAGCCACGCTTGCTTGAATTAGTTTTGTTTTCCGTCTAGAAACGGGCCCAGAGCCGTTCCTCGCGTTCTGGCATGCGTGTCGCGTGTGCGCGACTTGCTCGCTCTTGGTGTGTGTGTGTCGTCAGGATGGCTGACGGGAGGACTTGCACGCTTTTTTCTGCCACTCAACAAAACGCCGAAAGTGTGACCGCTTGACTTGAGCCTAACCTGCGCGTTAGATGCCGCGTTGCGGAGCGCTTGCTCATAGCTGTTGACCACCTGGCAGCCAACTTGCCGCTTCGAGAGTCCCGGTATTTAGCTGTGGAGATGTTGAACGTTTTGTGGGCGACGGCTACATGCGCGCGAAACTGTTTTCGCGAGGTCGACTTCATCAACGATGGGCCTGATGCCGAGCCTGAAGCTTCCGATCAGGATCACTCCGGCAGCGATTTGTGGCAGCGCATCGTCGACTAAGACCTGGGAGAGCGGGTGGGACATCTGTTGCGATGGTTCAATTACGGCCGATGATGATGCCGACACTGCAGAACTGTGCACGGATTAGGGCATTATGAATGAAGTACGCGGCGAGAGTGATTTGAAAGAATTGGATTGCAAGAACTACGATACTTTGGATCCAGTGCCTCATGCAGCTTATGCCACAGGCCTCAGCGAACGAGCACCCTGCCATTTAAAATGAGCTCGAGACCGCCCTTATCGCTTTTGCTCTTCGAAATATCTGCATCACGGACTTTTTGGGCAAAAAAAGTTCGTGTTTTCACTCAAAACTTTTTTAAAAGCTGTGTTTCATTTACTACAAACTTCGGGATACAGTGAACGGATGCCGCGTCAGGCTTGGGTTCATTATAAGCGGGCTCGACTGTATCCTTATTTCAAACACCCCAAATTTTCTTTCACGGACAACGGTGCTTTTTTGTTCTGAACCAAAGATGCCGACGCCAACATCACCGACGACGCCAACACCAGAATTGCAATGAAACGAGCTCTATAGTGCTTTTGCGTCAAAATTCAATCTCTCTCCAGGCCAACGTGTGCTATAGTCGAAGCATTAATATCACAAAAACACTGTTAGCAAATAAACTGCATATAAAATTAAGAAATCAATTTCGTTACTGTCGAGTCACAGTGTATTAATTTATTGACAGCCATGTACATGAGTATATCGAGCGTAATAAACAAGCAAAGAGGCTGGCTCTGCAGCGATAACCTTCCACACGCGAATCGGAGTTGCTCCTCAGTGAGCACCTTGGCCCACACTCCACGAGCGCCATCTGTCACATTAAACGGAAACAGCCTAGGCGGTGAACACAATTCGGACGCAGCTCTGGGCGAAGTGCCATCATCTAACTTATTCTTACATCGTGAGCAAAAAATGAGTTCGTCCGTGATAAAAAATTGTAGATGGATGCAAATGAATAAATAGAAAATTCAGCTTGGGTGGGAATCAAACCCTTAACATTTTGCGTGGCAAACAAAAGTTCTAACAGAGTCATGTCCATGCTTGAAACTGGTTCGAGACAAAAATTCTATTCGAATGTCATGTAGTGCGAGGAGATTCGTTTATGTGTGTAATACTGTGTGACAAAAGCATAGCATTGCACCAGGCATCAAAACATGTGAATTGCGCGAGTTGGTGGTTTAAAGGCCCACCTAGCACAAAACGTCCCGGCACAATTGATCACCATCAACAGCAGAAACAGCATCAAAAAAGTATGCAGCTGTGCTGGTTCGCGAGTTGCCCTATGGACACGTAGGGGGTACCTTGTTAATTCAGAAAGGAGGAATTATGGTGTAGCGGGCTTTTCACACTAGTGCTTGCAGTGGGCATTCTAGAGAAACTTGAATTAGTCAATTTTACGAGCACAGATGATCCTTTCCTTGGGGCCAAGTTGAAGTATAAACTGAGAAGTGAATTCCCTCTCGAGTTCAAATTAATAAGCTTTTTCTGTATCATGTTCTACTCCCGAAGGAGAAGCTCAAACTTCTCCGAAGTTTCTAAAAGCGAGTAGAACGAACATTTCCAAAATCCTAACACTGCCTCTAGTACAGTAGCTCTACTGTCCAAGACATTGCTGACAAACGAATCTTACTTACGTAATATTAGCCTCACTTATGAACAGCTTTTCCTTTGGGCTGTGGCTGTATTAGGCAAACCCAGACAGTGCGTAGGTTTTACTGCTGTTGCCAAATGTTAGACAGTGCCACTGCCCAACTTAAGTGCTCAATTCCCGCTGCTTGCTTACTGTGGCCGAAATAACACGTGCTAAAGCTAGAAGCTTAGTACTCGCAGACATTACCTGGTCCCACAAAGATATGTGCTTCATCACATTATTAATGCAGTGGACAGGTTAGGCAGTGGGAATGTTTGGTTAAATCCCAGTGAGTGCAATACTGCTGTGCAATGTAGGCAGGAGGCTCCACTACCTTCTAAAAATTGCACATAATTTTTTATAAATTCATGAATAAAAAATTGTGCAAAAATAATGCACCAAAAACAAGATATCTTTAAATGAGCTCCTAAACAAGTTGTAGTAATATAGACAGTAAATTCCTAAATTGAAAACTGACTAATTATCCATGGAGAGTGCCAGAATGTTGGAGACATCATCCTCTCAAAAGGCCGCATCTGTTCTAGGCTTCTTAAATGTTTAGTGCAGGTAAGCTAGGGCGTTGCGCACACAAAATAATTTGGAGCGCCAGATCGCTGGCCACACTTATCGGCGGAGCACAGTCACGAAAAAATGTAGCAATAATATGTGAGTGCGCAAAATCCCTAGCAAGCAAAGCTTGCTTCCTAGTGTATCCAGATAGACGTTGCCTTGCAAATAAAAACCATACTGTTTGTTACTCTTAGCGCTGAAAAAATATATCCTGGGGGAAATCCAGGCCTGTAGGCTACAACATGCTTGTGCTAATTTCTAAATGCAGGTGTAATCCTTGTGATGCAAACTTAATTAACTTATGAACTTTTAATTAATTATTTTCTTCAAGTTGGCATGAATAGTCTTATCACAGATTCTCAATATTGAGTAGTCATAACTCTTTGCAACATTTAATTACTTTTAATGGTATATAAGTACATTTTTTAATTAGTAATACACTTTAGCACATTTAAATAAAGATGTCTGTGTTTTGGTCTTGTTAATTACTCTTAATTTCTTTAAAGTAGCCTCAGGACTCCTGAATCCTTCTTAATAATTGGTGCTTAATTACCTTTTACACTTTTTACTGAACCGTAGAGGTGTAGTATGCCCCTTTTTGATTTTCGCGTAGAGGTGTAGTATGCCCCTTTTTGATTTTCGCAACTGGAAGTGCTATCGAAGGGGGGTGCCTGTAAGGCCACATTTCAAGACTAATGAACCAGTTGATCATTTCAATCTCAAAGGTGCTAATGCCAATTAATGCACAAGCATGCACATGCACGCTCCACAATGTGAACAAAAACATCAGCTATGTGTCCACCAAAACAGCCTCAAACTAGTACTTCCAGAAAAGTGCCGCAATAAAAGTATGTTATCCATACCAAGTCTGTTTGAGTTCATGAGGGACAAGTACTGCTCAAATCGCCTTTGCTTTGCTTCGTCCCGTGAAAATGGCTTCATTGGTTTTCCTGGCTCAGTGATAGGAACCGGAGAGGGTGTGTTCATGAATGATGCTGTTTGAGAAACATGCAAAGGTGGCCGCATTTCGCTGGAGTCCACAGTTGCTTTCACAATCTCAGTTCTGCCAGTTTTCTTGATGATTTCAAGTTTTTCCTTGTCAGCTGGTGATATGAGGTCAAAGACAGACCCTGAAAAAAAATGGTATTATTGTAAGGACACAATGTTGCATGCTCAGAGTATTATATTTGTAGGCACAATACAAGGACAGATAAATATTAGAATGAAACTATAATATTTCACACTAAACCTGCTCACAGAAATACAGAGGGAACCAAGGTACAATATTAAAGTTCCAAGGCACAGAAACTATGATATGATTATGAGGCGTGCTATAGTGGAGGACTCAGGATTAGGTTTGACCTTAAGGGCTTTATTAAAATGGCCCTGCAACAATTTTTCAAGTAGCCATGGAATGAATTCAATAAAGAAGCTTACTGCCTCATGAATTCACTGCCGCAAACATTTTCAGAATCTGTCTAATACGAGTGGAGTTACAAAGATTTGTCGCACACTGCACTTGCCTTCTTTCCTCTCTCGTCCCACTGAAAGCACTGGAAGCCAAGCAGGGAGGATGGTACGGGGGAAAGAAAATACCTCAGATGCGCCTCATCACTTTGAGCACTATTTCTCTCCCCACCCGCCCCTTTTTTTTTCTTCAAATACGTGGCTTTTCAGTGTCATCGCGCGCACGCATGAACAAGTCGCGTGGCATGCTCAAATCAGCCAATGGCTCATTCAATAGCTGTGACAAGCGATTTTGGAGCTTGTAGTGTTATTTGTCGAGAGAAGAGAAAGCAATTTTTAGCTGACTTAGAGAATTTATTGCGAAGTCTAGGTTGCATGCTGTGCAATAATATTTAGCTTGCGTGTTCTAAGGAGCCTCGACGACCGATTGGCACCGTTTTTTAACCATGCTCAAAAATTGTTGCAGGGCCCTTTTAAAATGCATCTAAATCTAAATAGTATGCAGGTGTTTTTTGCATTTTACTACCACTGAAACACGGCCCTCATTACAGGGAATTGAACCAATGTCTTCCAGTTTAGCAGCAACCCACCATAGCCATGAGGCCATCATTGGGTAAATTAAATTATCAACAGATTCTTCAAACTATCATTGCCTCTGTAGAAGAGACATTGGCTAAAATAAAGCAACTAATATTTCTCTTTGTTACGAATACAAGCTCTATAGTACAAAGGTCAACTTGTAAATAATTGAATGCAATAAAAGTTCCCTGAATGCTCCAAATGTGGTGCATTCAAATTTCCAGTTATGGGAACGCTTTGTGTCACTACCTGAATGCTCCACCTTCTTGTCTTTGCAAAGTTCACTTTTGGGTTCTTCAAAGCGTCTACGTTCTCTTTTTGGGGCTTTGTGAATAGGCTGAAAATCTGCTGGAATTTTTGGTGGTGGGTAGAACTTCATCACTATTGGTGGCTCTTTGGCTAGATGAAAGCCTTCCAGTGTCTTTGCGAGTTGATATAGAGGCTTGTTTCTTCCACCTGAAAGAAAAATTTTAAGAAGTCAGCTATTGTGAACTACAATCAGCACCTCCTCTATCTTTTTGTGCCTAGATGAAGGAGTGGAGCACAATAGGAACTGCTGTCAGCATTAGTGTGGATTTTAGCTGGGAGGCGCTGCCACAGGAATAGACCCGCCGTAACATTGTCGCTGGCGGAAATGGATGCTGTGGCTGCATTTGAAGCTGCTATATGGTTCACTTCTCCACTGTATTCGCGCTGTTTAAACTATAATGAAAACTTGAAAATAGGAATCCTGAAGTGCTCGTCGTTCTGTCCATCTAGCCCATTTTAAAGGCATGGCTCATTCCCAGATTTTGACTGAGGCACTTGTGTGTCGTCTGCTAGGAGTGCGTGTTGTCTAGTACTAGGCCAATACCAAAAAGCGCATGCCAGTACTGCACGGAAGATTGCTTTGTCACTGTGAAGCTCACTTGACTAAGAGTTAGCTTTTGAATGCCTGAAGGTCGATTTTTGAAAGCATCATTTGCCAGGAGTTGATAATGAATGCTTAGGCGCTTCAAGTTCCCTGATGCATACTACCTGCCGTCTACTGGTGAAGAACATTATATGCAAGCCTGGAGTTAATGTGCTAAATAGCATGAAATGTCACTAGATCGCTTCTAAGAATATATGAGATCACCCGTTGCCTTTGTAAATGTTGTCACCGAGAGGAAGCAACAGCTGGTGCCAGAAAATGAGGAACTATGCCAGGTGATTCCGCGATATTACAGCTTAAAGCAATTAAATAGCGGTGGTACAAAAAACAAACAAAAACAGCCTCACATGCAGCACGGTTCCTGCAATACTGGCGAATGTGTGGGAACAGGTGCTGTTGTTCAAGCCTAAACTCGTAGTGCTGACCCTCAACTTACGCCAACCAGCAGGTATGAAAAATGCGGCCTGTTGTTGGTTGCTTGAGCTCGTCTTTGTATTCATTAATAGATTGCAGTAGCCTCAAATTCTGGCTCCTTGGCTTTATCCCTTTTTTTTTTTTTTTTTTTTCGTTTGGCCTTTTCAATAGTGAGCAAAGAAGAAGCTAAATGGCTCTTTATCTGGATGTTTTTGTAACTGATGAAACTTGCTCAACCTTGTACACTGAGTCATTGACACTGCACATGATGATTGTCAGTTGTTTTGGCCAAGAGCGCATGTGCTGTCCATGGGCTCCAATTATTCTGCTTTGGGACTTAATGTCAGTGTTCCACATGCCAGTGATCACGAGGCGGTGTTGCTACTGGTACATTCATTTTTGGACAGTTTGAATGCAGCACAGTCAGGTTTAGTGGTACATACTTACCACGCTCAGAGGTTCAGTTGTTAACTTGGGCAGCAAATGTGAAGGTATAGTCTGCAAAGACCGATGCTACAGCACCTTTCATAAGTCACCACTTCTCATATGCTATGAAACCTTCGGGTCGTAAATGATAGCTGCATGCTCTAACTTTGATAGTGTATCAGGAGACCAATTATCCCTTTTAATTAATCCAAGCCAACTCTCCTGATCACTACCGGCAGCTGAAATTTCAAGAAAAATCACAGTATATCAACGGAGTGAATGATGATGAGTAAGGTGAAGCGTCCGTCAGCCCATCTGTGCTTTCGTCCGTCCGCACAACCATCCGTGCGTCCATCCATGCATCCATTCGTCTCTCCGTGCATCTGCTCGTCTGCTAGTATGTCTGTCTGTACGCCCGTTCATGCATCCATCTAGTGAACACTCCAAGTACCACCATCTCCCATCTCGCATCCCCTGTGGCACATACCCGCTCTAGAGCGGGTATGTGTCACGGGTGGCTACCTATGTACATACATACATACATGCATACATACATATGTAGCGTACTCGCCCCACGGAGGCGCGAAAAAAAGGCACCTACACTCCTTGAAGTTTGGGACAAGACTAGTTTATTTTCCAAGAAAAACAGACTTCGAAAGCGACAACCAAAAGGGGCGTGGCTGCGTATCTTCCGCGGCCCTCCGGAGATAACGTGAGGCATGTTGGCTGCGTCTGCGCCGTACGCCTCGGCATACGAATTGGTATGCGCACACAAATAAAATTATCGTGATCACCGGCGTCATCGCCCACTAAAAGGGTCCCCCCCCCAGACCGTGGAGCCTGGGAAAAAAAAAAAATGAGCAAATGTGCGAGTTAGTCCGTGAGGTGAGCCGGTTTCACGCGATCGAGAGAAACAACGTCCTCTCTGTCGCGAACACGAATGGTCAGAGTTTTGTGCGACCGCGAAAGCACACGGAAGGGCCCGTCGTACACTGGAGTCAACGGCGCTTTCACTGTGTCACGTCGCACGAACACATGGGTTGCCTCATTCATGTCTGGGAAAAAAAACACTCTTTGGTTGAGGCTGACGCGTGGCACGCTGGGTTGCTGGTGCTCCAACCAGGAATGTAGCCTTTCCATATGTTCTGAAGGCGTCGGCGTAGCGCTTGGTTTCTCACCGAAGAATTCTCCCGGTAGTCGGATTGTAGAGCCGTACAGCATTTCTGCTGCACAGAATCCGAGGTCTTCTTTTATCGCCGTACGCAGGCCCAGAAAAATGAGAGAGAGCTTCTCCACCCAGTGCTCTCTATCCAATTTGGCCGTTAAAGATGCCTTCGGTTGACGGTGTAGCCACTCCACCATTCCATTGCTTGCTGGATGGTAAGCCGTGGTGTACTGGAGCCGTGTTCCCAGAAGCCTTGCCAGCGCAGAGAATAGGTTGCTCTGGAATTGTCGTCCACGATTGGTCGTTATGCGCAGTGGACAGCCATAGTGTGAAACCCATGTGGCCACAAACGCCTGTGCGACGGTCCTGGCTGCGATGTTCATAATCGGCGTCGCCTCGGGCCACCGTGAGTATCGGTTGACACAAGTGAGCAGGTATCTGTAACCCTGGGAAGGAGGAAGAGGTCCCACCAAGTCCAAGTGCACGTGGTCGAAACGACACTCTGGTGGCCGAAATGCTTGGAGTGCTGTGCGCGTGTGACGAGTCACCTTGACTGTTTTACATGTTCGGCACGTTTTCGCCCAGCGTCGAACGTCGGCGTTAATTCCGGGCCACACAAAGCGTTCAGTGACGAGCCTCTCTGTCGCGCGGATTCCTGAATGGCTGAGGTCGTGAAGGCTGTCAAACATTGCACGCCGAAATTGGACGGGGACGAAGGGTCTTGGGTATTTCTGCGATGTGTCGCATATGACCATAGTCATTGTGTATGGTAGCGGGATCTCTTCGAGCACCAGTGACAGTGGATTCTGCTTCATCTCAGTTAGCTCTGGGTCTTCCCGCTGGGCGGCGGATAATGTCTCAAGTCGACGGACGCTGAAACAGTGTTGATACGGGAGAGTGCGTCCGCTGCTTGGTTTTCGCTCCCCGCTATGTGACGGATGTCCGTGGAAAATTCGGAAATTAAAGAAAGTTGGCGCAGTTCTCTTTCCAAATATGAGGAACTGTTGTTCTTGAACGCATACGTCAGCGGCTTGTGGTCCGTTAAAATGTGGAAAATGCAGCCTTCTAGGAAGAAACGGAAATGCCTTACGGAAGAATAAATCGCCAGCATCTCTCTTCCAAAGGTGCTGTAGCACACTTCCGCCTGTTTCAGACGTTTAAAAAAGAAACCTATCGGTTTCCAGTCCTTGCCGTCGTATTGTTGCAACACTGCTCCCACTGCCGTCGTTGAAGCGTCAACCATAAGCCGCGTTGGCACGTCGGAAAGCGGGTGCATCAGAAGTGTTGCGGAGGCAAGCTCAGTTTTCGCGTCCTGGAAGGCTTTTTCGTGCTCCGCTGACCAGTGAAACTCGGGCGTTTTCTTGCCGTCCCGGCGCAACAAGTCAGTTAGCGGCTGTTGAATGTGTGCACAGGATGAGATGAAGCGCCTATGGAAGTTGATTAGCCCGAGGAACTCGCGCAACTTGCGGAAAGAGGTAGGCGTGGGGAATTCCCTGACTGCTTGCACCCGTGATTCGAACGGCAAGATGCCTTGCGGGCTGTTTCGATGACCTAGGAAATCTAGTGCTTCAACACCAAAGATGCACTTTTGGGGCTTCAAAACCAAACCGTGCTTGTCAAGACGGTTGAAGAGGAGGCGCAGGTGATTTTCATGCTCCTCCGGCGTTTTGCTGGCGACCAAAATGTCGTCTAAGTAGACAAAAACAAAGAACAGTCCGCGAGTGACCTCATTCATGAAACGCTGGAGTGCCGCGTTCTTCAGTCCACGGCATACGAACAAATTCAAAGAGGCCGAAAGGCGTTGTCAAGGCCGTCTTTGGGATGTCGCTTGGTTCTACTGGAATCTGGTAATAAGCGGCCATCAGATCCAGCTTAGTGAAGATGGTCGTTCCCGCGAGGTGAGCGCTGAAATCATAGATGTGGGGCAGAGGATATTGGTCTGCCGTTGTCACAGCATTCAGTGCCCGATAATCACCACAAGGCCGCCAGTCACCAGACTCTTGTTTTGGCACTATGTACAGTGCGGAAGACCACTTGCTAGAAGAAGGTCAAATAATGCCGAGTTGGAGCATGTGGTCAAACTCACGGCGGGCGACTTCGTGTCTTTGTCCAGTGAGTCTCCTAGGTCTAGCGGTGACGGGCGGTCCGGTGGTGACAATGTGATGCGTCACCTTGTGTTTGATTGGCAGTACGGTGTTCCGAGGTCTGGTTATTTCAGGGAATTCAGCCAGAATCTTTTGAAAGTTTGACTCTGGGTTGAAAGTGCAAATGCTGCATAAGGACAGGTCAGACTTCAGTCCGATAACAGCGAGCGAAGTGACGTTATCCTTGAGACGACGATCGCGAACGCTGACGTCAAGATTGAAGTGGCTCAGAAAGTCCGCTCCCAGGATGGCAATTCTGACGTCGGCCACAACGAAGAGCCATCGATATGTACGCCTGAGTCCGATGTCGATCGTCATTGACTGGACTCCCTATGACGCAATAGCAGTATTATTGACTGTCATTAGGCTTGAAATGTACTTGCCGCCCCGGCGATGTTGAGCTGCTGCTGGTAGGATAGATAGCTCCGCTCCGGTATCGACAAGGAGGCGTGTGCCGGTGATGCGGTCGACAACGAAGAAGAGGCGGCTTGAACGATGGCCCGTGTCACTTTCCGCCAAGAGCGACTAGCCGGTGTGCTTCCCGTCCATGAGCATGGATGGGTGCAGCGAGTGGCTTGCTCTCTAAAACGACGGTGGTACCAGCAGATGTTCTGCTCTGCCTTGATTGAGTGTCCGCGGTGCTGCGGGCTTCGAGCACGGGATGGCGAACGATGCCGTGCAGGCCGGTGTTTGTTGGACAGGGCGAGGTTTTCAATTGCTGCAGCCAGTCGGTCAACTCTGTCCTCTAAGCGACCTAACCGGTCTGCATGTTCGGGCCTTCCCGTTGCAGCAATAGACATTTTTGGTGGCTCAGTGCGGTCGGTGATGCGGTCGGCGAGTCGAGCCAGACGTTCGAGAGTCACGTCATCCGAGCCAGCGAGTATCATCCGTGTTGACTATGGCAGTCTCTGCAAAAACAATTCACCAAGCAATGGATGTTGACGCTTCTCTGACATTTGTTGGCCCAGCAGCTGACGCATTCGGTGGAGTAGTTGTGAGGGACGCTGGTCACCGAGCTCTTCAGGAGACAGGAGTTGTTGCAGCCTGCTCTGTTTGGACACCTCAAGACGTTTCAGGACGGTGCTTTTTAGTTCGTCGTAGGGCTTCTCCGATGGAGTGGAGGCGAGCACATCGTCTACGGCATCAGCGATGTCAGGTGGCAGTGCTGAAACGACGTGCAGGTATTTCGACTGCTGCGCTGTGATGCATCGAAGCTCGAAGAGGGGCCTCGATTTGGCTGAACCACACCCTGGGGTTTTTGGGCCAGAAATGAGGAAGCTTTAACTCCGAGGCGTTGGTTGTGGGTGAGCTTGAAGTGCCTTCCTCGTCTGACATGGCTGCTATTTTTCCAAATGTCCGGGTCACCACTTTGTAGCGTACTCGCCCCATGGAGGCGCGAAAAGAAGGCACCTACATTCCTTGAAGTTTGGGACAAGATTAGTTTATTTTCCAAGAAAAACAGGCTTCGAAAGCGACAACCAAAAGGGGCATGGCTGCGTATCTTCCGCAGCCCTATGGAGATAACGTGAGGCATGTTGGCCGCGTCTGCACCGTGCACCTCGGCATACGAATTGGTATGCGCACACAAATAAAATTATCGCGATCACCGATGTCATCGCCCGCTACACATACATATATACATACATACATACATACATACATACATACATACATACATACATACATACATACATACATACCGAGGAGCAATACACCCACGTCCTAAGGAGGTTTTGCTCCTAAAATGACAGCCGAACAGGATATTAAGGTGAAAGGCTTCGAGCATGTCCCATAGAGGACGAAAACTGACTGTCAGTGGCATCCAGTGGTGTTTCCCAATGGTGGCATCAATACAAGTGATGCAAAAATAGCTTCGTTACATGATGACGCCATCATACAACATCACAGATAAAAATACTGTGACACCATCGTGACGTCATCATATTCCATCTTCGCTTAGTCAAAGTGGGCCGATCACGGAGGCAGTGCATAACCACTTGAAGTGCAGAAAACTGATCCTTCCGTGCCTCTGATCTTTGAGGAAGTAAGAAAACCACACTAAACGCAGAAATATCGAGGAGGGAAGCAAATGTTCAATACAACGACTGGGAAAATAAAGATGATGGCTTTTGCCTTTCAATCGTCTCAGGTGAATGCAAAAGGAACCCTGTGAGCTTTTCTAATAAATACAAGAAAACAAAACAAAAAAGACAATCGTGATTCCTTTTTGTTAGATTTGTTGAGAAGTACTCTGTATAATGACCTAATTAGACATGCAAATGACAAGGTTGCAATAGCTTGAAATATAAAACAAAACAATAATACAATAAAACTTGAATGCAAGTATTAACCCGGCAGCATGGCCTGACATAACGCTATAGCCACGGTCAGAGCGTGATAAAAACAGCATGCCACCGAAAAAGGATCAAGCAAGCAAGCAAGCATGCAGTTATTTTCGCGATTCTTTCCATTCCTCCTGTGCCCCTGAAAGCTTGCAAGAAACAAAAATGCTATCAAACTCTAATGAGAATGCGCAGTCACAAGCTTCATAATACACTTGGCCATTCAGCACCAAGGAGCAGGGCACCAAAGAGCAGGGCACCAAGGAGCAGGATGCCAGCAGGATGATTTTGACAACTACAGTAATCTGGTGTGCATATTTTTCCAAGTCAGTGAAACATCATTATGGCAGAGCGTATTCTGTATTAGTATGCTTCTTTCTCATTCTTATTATTCAAGAATAAACAATGCACCTATACTCATAGAAAATACTTTTTCTCCCACTAGTCGGGCTCCTAAACCACCTGAAATTTTTTAAAGACGATAGTCTTTCTTGAGGACCTTCGACACAAAAATTTTGGTCTGTCTATCCGTCTGTCTGTACATTTGTCTGTTTATCCACTCTTAACGACCCGGGGTACTTGGAACGGCCGACCCCATTCGCAGCGCCCGCCAATGTTACTCAAGGTTTAGCGTTCATACTTGTGCAATTGTCAATTAAAAAGCAAATATTGCACATGTCGGGGGCACCATAACAACATGTATATAATCTGCATGTGTGTCTTTTACTAGAAAAGGCATACATAAGTAATTTTAAGGACCGTAGTGCTTATCACGCTGTGCTGACCATGCAACGCTTGCACGAAAAGGCGAGTGTTTCAAACGCTTTGCTAAAACGAGACGATGGTGGCACCTACCTGTCGCCTTGCGTTCTACACCTTATCACCTCTGAGACGGGCACGCACACCCGTCTCAGAGCCATGCACTTTGTTTTCCAAGAAAACTGCCAGATGGCGCTCATGTTTCACGTGTGACTTGACTTGATGCGCTAGTTCGCCTCCGCTGCACGCTCGAGGCACTCTAACGCAGGGTCTCCAGAATACCATTCACCGATTCCCTTGCGCAGAACATCAAATAAATGTTTTGTTCACTCTCTCCACACGCAAGACTATCGTCGTTCGACGAAATTTGCAGATTAACATGCAAATACGGGGCCAATTTTTTTTTTTTTTTCAAACTTTACAATCAAACACACGCATCGTGCATAGAATGCTGCCACGATTGACGATGCCAGGCAACACTACGAACTGTGGGTGAGTCACAAATTCCAAGAAACAACCCCCCCCCCTCCTCTCCGGGTCCTTCTGGCCTCTATGTGACATCGCACAATTGAATCTTTGATGCGTAGCGCCAGTCATGCTGCGATTGATTGAGCAAAAACCTATGACTTCCAGTTAGCCTGCAATCAGCTGTCCGCACTCTTTGTTGTTGTTCGCCATATTGTGGTGGCGGCAGCTGCTCATCCTGCGCATGACTGCTTTGGCACGAAGTGCCAACGTACTATTGATCCCTCATGTCCGCACTCCTTTGAAGGTTTATGTGCAACAAAGGGTTCATACCGGCACAGCTCGTAGAAAGCACAAGCTGGCACAACAACGGCAGTTAGCCAACAAGCACGGAGTTGATAGAGTCGCTGCGACTGGAAGCAGAGCCTGTTTCGAACAGCGGATCAGACGAGATTGGAAGAGGCACTTGGCAAGAAGGGCAAAGTAGCTTTGAGAGAGGAGACCAGTAGAGAGTAACAAGAAAAAAAAGAGCGAAAGGAGCGGTCACTGCCTTTCTATCATCAAACGCGTCTAAACTCCGCTATTATGGCATCGTTTGGAAAAATTCTCAAGGCTACGTGTTTATTGCACAATTTCTCCACCACGTCTACTTTTCTATCTCTGGGTTGTTTAGGTACCTTTTAAAACAACTAGGGTGAATTCTTTCCCAGAAAAAAGTCCTCTGAAGATATTAAATCAGCAATGAAAATCTATCCTGTTGGGATGCGTCTTGCGGAAAAAAAAATGGCACTCAAGGAATTAAGACAAACGTGCAAGATAATGTGTTATCACACTCGATGCATTTTGAATTTTCAATAGCTGCATGAGCTCCACCAGCTCAATATGTGTCAGCATATCATGCTGCATCAATTCACCCATTCAAGCTACATAGATGTCGATGATAACCAAGTCTGCCTAATTTTATGTTTTTTGTCAAATGCAGATACTCACAAATACTGCCACAGAATAAATTTCCATGAGTTCTTTTCAGGTGCAAGGCCTTCAATATCTTTTTTTTTTCTTGTTTATCAAGCACTGTGAAGAAGTCTCATACAAAATTTGAAAAATGTCTGAAGACCCATTAATTACTCAGATTTAGCAGTTAGCAGTTACGCTGCAAAAATATAACAATTAGTGATCTGAACACTGCAATAGAGCAAGTAGAGCTCATTTTGTTATGCAAATCCCCGTTAAGTTCCTCTCACCAGTTTTGTGGGTTGCAAATAAACAAGGAGAATGCACAGATAGCACAGTACAGTCATGCCTCCGAGGTATAAATCAACTAGAAAATACAAAAACTACTGAATTTCTGAATGAAAACCTATTGCCCTTTTCCTTCAGGTAGCTCAACTATCAACAAGAGAGTCAACCAAGAGAGCCAGAACCTCTACATATGATGCACAGCTTGCCAATTATGAGAACACGCAGATTTATGGCATGTGACCCCTCAATGTCGCCTAATACTCAGCACACAATAGCAAAACTGAGAGGGCACCATACCAACACAATCTGCTTTAGATGCTGGGTCGCAGTATGAATGTAGCCAGACTGGTCACCTAAGTTCCTGTTATGTAAGCACAAAGATACGTTGCAATGTTTTCCCACCCATGCATGTTTTAGAGCATGATGGCATTCACACATACATGAAATGCAATAAAAAAACTAAGCCAGTAAGCTTAGAATCGTACCCCCAATGGCAGGAAGCATCTTGCGAGGCTTGTCTTCAGGTTCATCAGTTAGCTCAAAACTGTACTGAGACATATCATCACGGGCATAGATATCACTGTCATCCTCTTCAAAAGCCCCAACGCCAAATGCCTGAAAAACAGCACAAATAATTGAACACACCTATTTTTACTCTCTCTCTCTGTCTGTCTGTCTGGCTGGCTGTGTGCGTGTGTGTGTGTGTGTGTATTTGGGTGTGTGTCTCCACTTTCTAGACAATAAAACATCATGTTCTGCAATTAAAACTGTTGAACAGGTAACTGACAAATGGCTGATGGCTAAAAAGTAGCAATATTCCCCGGCATTTTAACTGACATTAAACTGTGACTAAAAACACTTCATAATGTTTTTTTGGGGGGGGGGGAGGAAGGGGGGGGGGGGGGCAAGCACCAACTGAAAAATGATGTGTGTGTACTTGCTCATCTATCACTGCTTCAGGTGCAAATTGACTTGCTTGCATTCAGCTTGTCCTGTGACGCAGTATTGTGGCATCATCTGGCATAGCGTATACTTACAGAATGTTAGCTGCTGCTTAAAAGATTTTTTTGCTCATCCATACATTATTGTCTGATACCTTCAGTCTTTGCATAATTATACATGGAACACATGAGATTTGAAGAACGATGACACAAATGACTGCAAGAACTAAGTAAGAGTGTAAAAAAAATAATACTAAGATTTATTGGACAGTAAAAAAAATTTTCTGGAAAACTTCTCTAAATGTCCTTTGCATGTGATGAAGACTTTTCACGATACTCAAAAAAGGATAGAAAGCATGGGGGAAACATGGAGAAAGAATAAAAAAAAAAGGAATGTAACATTGCTTAGAAAAACATGCCATGGAAGATTAGCAGCTGCTGAGGGAGGAGAACAGGATGGAAGACTCACAAGACATGCACCCTAGGTGCTGTACAAAAGCCTTCTTAGTACTTACCTGTCCAGTAATAGCAAGTTTCCTTTTGCTTTTTTCCAAATGGCACCTAGTCGTCGTAGGCTGGTCGATATCTATTGGTGCTGAGAGCACAGAGTGCTTGTCCAGAGGGACATATCCAATGCCATGTTGGTTGTCCTTGGGAACATACAGCACATCATCAACATCTGCTGGTGCAAATGAATGCCCTGCAGCAAACTCATCCTCTTCACTAGATGACTCTGTGCCTGGTGGCAAGGCACAGCCATACACTCTGACACCTGGTAGGTCCTGGGCCTGTTTTGGCTTTTCTCGTTTTACACGTTCTCCTATGCCTTGTCCTTGGCGCCAGCCCATCTTGTTTAGAAGCTTGACACCAATACTCTGACTGTAAGAACCACAATATTTTTTTGTACTGAATGAATAACTTTGAGCAATGCACAAATTTCTTCTAATTATGCACTATTTAGTAGTGCAGCTAGCACTTGTGGGAAAGCACCTTACCAGCAGCTATCATGAGCACTATGCGGGTGTATCTGCAAAACGTTATATACCTTTCAGATGCAATGTCTGCATATTTAATTTTAAGGCGTACTAACGTGAATTACAAAAAGTTTTTGGATTGTTGCTTGAAATAGAAGTACTGGCGTCGAAAAACCTAAAACAAGTATCACGGTGCTTGGAGACGCATCGAATACAATTTCATTACTGCTAGCTTAAAAAGACGCTTTCAGTTTTGATATCGAGAAGGTAGCTTCTTAGGGACGGGTCTGAGCGGTGTGACATCCTTAGATTGGCAAAAACAAAGTGGAACTAACTCAGACTCATTCAAGAAATATATTTTGCGCTTAGGACTCGCCCTGAATCAGACTCGCTAAAGTTTTCCTGAGCTGAACTCACTCTGACTCACACTCATTAAAAGTTTTTTGAACCGGACTCACTTGTACAGACTCGCCAAAATTTTACTTACCTGGAATCACTCAGACTCACACTCACGGCTCGATCTAAGCTGGGTGAGTACGAGTGAGTTCGCCGACCTATGAGTCACATGGGAAGACAGCAACTGGCTACGTACTAGCGGCAAATTTGTTATCTGCTCGTGGTGCACATAAACAACGATGAGTGAATTGTCGTACAGTGACCGTGACAGTGATTTTTGCAATTTCAGCTGTCCACTGAAATCAGAGCTCGCAATTTCAGGAACTGTCTTCACTCGTCGGGATAATGTCCATTGCAGTGGAGCTGGCTTGTTGCTGCTCAGTGACAAAAGCTCTAAAATCAAAATAAATATTGGATATGTGTTGCTCGGCTTCGATGTGTGGAGAGAGCTGACACTGCATACCAAGGAAACGAAAAATGTCTCTTTCGTATGCCTTCAAATCGTGTCAGTATTTTTTATAACTTTGTGCAACAGGGGGCACATACGTCCCACTCTTTCGTTTAGAGACAAAAGTTTCTCCCACGTCCCCGAATGCAATCAGTGCAATGTCAAGTCACTCATATTTTATCTAAGTCTTCGTAACCTCGACGTAAATTTTTTTACCATGCTTTCAAAAAGCGGATGTAGTGTTACCATAACATTGAACTTCGGTTTTTTTATGACAGCTTTTAAATTTTCCTCTTCTTGAGATAGACAGCACCTACCAATCAAAATGTTGGATAATTTCCTTTTTTTATGGTTTTTCAGAGAGGTCATTTTAGCTTCCAGTCATTCCGTGGTTTTTTTTTTTTCTAAATTTGCATAACAACTTGACTGATAAGTGCATACAAGGACGGAATCGGGCTTCAGTCTTTTGGAGAAGCTTTGGGAGCAGGAATATATTTTAAACCTTACAACAACAAAGTTGAAAGCACAGCAACTCGAAGAAAAAACATAAGCGGCGCTTTGAACAGCTACTCCGACAAATAAAAACGTTAATGTTTAAATGTCATATTGTTCAAAACGTGATTAAAACACCGCATATAATATGAACAGCAACTCAAAACTAGAGATAAACTAATATAATAAAAGTTAACTTTATACTAAACCGATAGGGCTCTATAAAAATAAATGTAATAAACTTATGTTCCGGTCGTTGAAGTGCCCCAGCCGACATGAGAACCACGAAGAAATTTAGATGGGCTCGCCACGCCACTGCTAGGCAATTGAGAGATTTTTTTTTTATTAGTATAGAAACTACATGGGCCCTTGAAGGGTTTTCACCGTCGCCGCCATGTTCCACGTAAACTACAAGATGGTAACATTCCCCGCCCATGTACGTCAGACTCTGGAGTTTTGCGGACACCCCGCGCCCCCCCTCCCCTGTTGGCGCAGTTTTGAGTAATGCGAAACCCAACTACCTTGCACAGTTTGCTGCGCAACCAGGTGCAACTACAGCGAACGAAAAAACGATTCAGCTAAATATTAGGTGTATTTGTGCATTGAACACTTAGAAGAAGAGCTACGAATTTCTCTCCACTAGTCGGACGCATCACCGAACCACCAGAAGTGCTTGTTGATTCACTCGCCGAAACGACGGCGAAAGCAAGAGAAGATGAAACAGCTCCGCGCTCTGCAAAAAGACTCGAATCGACACTATTTTTGTGTTGTGAATTGCCACTGATGTAAATGACTTCAGTTTTGATAATTTCCACAGCTTTTGCGAAGCATAATGACGAAAGCACTAGATACGGGCCATCGGGAATGTGTCGGGTAAGCGAATCACTCGTGTTCTCTACAGCTGGTCGCATGATAAAGTGCGATAATGTAGGTCTCCTGTTATTGTTCTGAATAGCCTTGACGGAGAACCGTGGCAACTTTGATCATGAAGCTCAACAGATCATCTGACCGCAATGCACACTGTGCAACAGTAAACAGGTGATGCGCGCGATAAACATTGCACACGCTGCAACCACCGATAATCTAAAGCAGTCGCCACACACAGCATTATGCACGTAGGGCTCTGAAGGCTCTAAGTACTGGGTTCAACTAGAAAATGTTAATACCTACGTCACACAAGTAAATCACAAAAGAAGCAAGACCCTATGAGGTTTTTCTTGCCGTTGGTCTCCGAGACTGCCGGGGCTGTCTTGGACGCTTCGGTTTTGCTTTTCGTTGTTCACTGAGAAAGTTGACACGTATGTATCCCCATTTGCAGAATGTATAAATGGAATACATCCATCAACAGAACATTTTAGCAACAGTCCAATGCACAGGAAGCGAGAGATCGATGGAGAATGCAACTGCACAGACAAAAATCGTCAGGACCATTTGTACCGGATAAAGTGAGCTTCGTATCACTGATAGTAAGATAGATTGCTCGTGTATGCATTTCATTGCTTTGGCATCATGTGTATGCCCAAGTGTAACGCACTTGGGTGTTAAATAATGCACGTCGGGGTGCTTGCCTCAAATTCCATGTCATGCTATGCTTGCTTGCGCTTAAATTGCAGCACACCGAAATAACTGAAACATATTGTTACGGTGCATCATCGACAGGAGCAAGCGTGGCACTTAGCGAAGATGAAGAAGATGCCTGTGCGTTAGGCGATTGCGCGAGAGGCAACTCAGACATCTTGTTCGGCTGGCGATTCTCGGTGGACGCTATCCTGTAAGCCAAGACCTCGCCCCGTCACATTTGATGGACGTGCTGGGTAACCGCCTCGCAACGGAACTTCGCAACGGCCGTCGTTTGAAGGGTCATTCCACAACGATGACGGAAAGTACGGCGTCTGCATCTGCTCCTGGTGTTCCTGCGGCCGGAGATGATGCGGTAACTACATCTCCTTCTGCGACCACAACCTTCGTGCTCGAACCCCCGCGGGATCCTGGCACGTTCAGCGGTTCCGGCGATCCAGATGAAGTTGACGTTGAAGATTAGCTGGCAGAGTACGAACGTGTGAGTACTCGATACCGATGGGGCCCGACTCTTATGCTGGCAAACCTGTTATTCTATCTTAGGGGAACCGCCAAATCGTGGTATGAGAACCATGAAACAGAACTTGGGAGTTGGGCAGTGTGCAGGGAGAAAATGTTGGACCTGTTCGGAAAGCCGATTGGAAGAAAAATGGCCGCGAACAAAATGCTCGCGTCTCGGGTGCAGACCTCGACCGAGTCTTACGTCTCCTATATAGAAGATGTGTTGTCGTTGTGTCGCAAAGCCAATGCCGAGATGCCGGAGGCTGACAAGGTCGGGCATATTCTTAAGGGGATTGCGGATGACGCATTCAACCTCCTCATCTGCAAAAATTTTTCTACAGTGGACGCCATTATAAAAGAATGTCGACGCTTTGAGCAAGCGAAGAGCCGGCGGATTAACAGCATGTTTACCCGCCTTCCGAATATGGCTGCAACATCATCTTGCGAAGACCGTGCAAGAACACAGCCACCACCTCTAGATTCATCGGATCAGGTGACCCGAATTGTACGGCGCGAACTTGAAGCCATTGCCTCTGCTCCGGCTCACAACGCTGCAAGTGACACGACCCCACTCGCTGCTAACATGGTTCAAGCCATCGTCCGCCAAGAACTCGCCAGCATAGGTATTCCCTCGGTGTGCGCTTTGCCCAGCCCACAGCGAGCTTCATGGCGTCCATCCTCGTCCTATCACGAGCAGCAGTTTACGGCCCGATCTCGCGACCCTGCTGCGTGGAGAACCGTCGACAATCGACCAATTTGTTTTCATTGCCGCCGTATCGGTCATGTCGTCCGTTACTTCAATTACCGCTGGTCCTCGCCACCTCGGACTTCATCTCAACCTCACTACCGACAGGACAGCACCCGCTTTGCGTCCGCCGCGCAGCCTTCTCCGCAAAACAACTACAGAAGGTTCAACAGCCGATCTCCGTCATCGCATGGTCGTCAGTCGCGTTCGCCTCCAGGACGTCGCCAGTCGTCTCGCTCACCGCAGACTCGCAGGCCGTCGTCCCCATTCAACCCCGCTCCTGCCTACCCGGAAAACTAAACGGTGCAGCGCCCGGAGGTGACGCTGCATTTTCGACTCCCTCCACAAATCCTCTCTTGACGCTTCCGGCGAGACAAAATTTGTTAGACGTTGCCGTTGACGGTGTGGCTATTTCTGCCCTTAAAGATATTGGAGCGCACATTTCTGTAATGAGCGCGAACCTTCACCGACGCCTACATAAAGTGCTCACGCCTGCCGCTTCCCACAAACTCCGTGTCGCTGATGGGAGGACCCCTGATGTTCAAGGGATGTGCACGGCCCGTGTGTCCATTGCCGGTCATCCTACATTAGTTCAGTTTGCCGTCATTGAAATGTGTCCTCATGACCTAATACTTGGTTTGGACTTCCTGTCACGTCATTCTGCGCTCATTGATTGTGCCACTGGTGCTCTTCAGCTTGAACTGATGCAGTTTTCCGATTTTCCAGCTGACTATTCTCCCCGTTT